TACGCCACACCGCCGACCCCTTGTTTATGCCAATCTGGGGGTAGTAGATGCTGCGAAGGGGTGAAAAGCGAGTTTTGGAGCCACTTGGGGGCCGTTTCGGAGCCTCTGGGGTGCTTCTTGGGGGTTCCTTGGGGCGTCTGGGCGGCCTCGTGAGGGCCTCTGGGGGCCTCTTGGGGCACTCTTGGGGCCCCCTGGGGCTCCTGGGGGCAGAAAGCTAGAGTTTCAACATGTTTGGTCGCCCTCTTGGGCCCCTGTTGGTGCCGTCTTGGAGCCCTCTTGGGCCGTCTTGGGGACATCTTGGGCCGTGTTGGGGCCGTCTTGGGCCGTCTGGAGGCCGTCTTGGGGGCCTCTTGGGCCATCTTGGGGCTTTCTTGGGGGCCTCTTTGGCCGTCTTGGAGCGTCGGGAAGCCGAAAAGGCGGAAAAGCAAAAAACATAGAAAAACACTATGGAAAATCAACAATTTTAGACTCTTGGGGTCCTCTTGGGAGGCTTGTTTGGGACCTCGGAGGCCGTCTTGGAGACCTCTTGGCCCGTCTTGGGGCCATCGTGGGCGTCTTGGACCGGTCGTTTGGCGTCTCGGAGCCTTCGTGGGCCGTCTTGGAGGCCTCTTGGGGGCTTCTTGGCCCGTCTTGAGGCCCTCTTGGGCTCGGAAAAGCCCCGTGAACCGCTCGTCCCGGACCCCCCCCGCTCGCGCTCGACCCCCCCCCCCCCTCCAAATCGACCGGACCGGGCTCCCGGGGGAGGGGTTTGGGGAGGGGGAAGCATCTCACACGCCGATGATCCCCAAGGGGTCGGCGGATTGAAGCTTGAGCGTCAAAAACTATTGAACGATCGTCGTATGCTTCTGGGAGAAAATTGATGCATGGGGTCGTCGTTAGATTGCAGTTGCTATGATATTGAGTAGACAAACTGCGCGTTGCCGATCTGGACGGACTTTAAAACGGAGCCGTTCCGACAGCACACGAGTGGCAAAGGACTGGGGCTGAATGGTATATGCATGTTGTGGAAATAGATAGCGAAGCGTGGCATCTGCAGCAGCTCAATTCGACCGTGGCCCCGTTATCGCACATCCACGAATGTTCGGCGACTTCGGTCTTGGGGCGGGTGTCGTTCAGAGCGAGACGAGCACCGGGGAAACGAGCATGCCCAGAAATGACATCACCAGCTGATCTGTGGTTTATTGGCTTCCATCCGGCGCGGCACGTGGCGACGGTTCAGTGGAGGGGATTGGGTGGAGCTTCGGAAATCCCAGATCTGTAGATTTTGGTTGGATTATATGACAGGCCGTTTTCGTAACATGCGCAGGAATGACCGCATGTTAGTGTATTCGCAGAAAGAGTGAAAACCGCGCGCTAAGATAATCAAGCAAGCGAAACCCACCTGGCAAGAGAGGCTTTCACACATTACCGACTATTTGACATATGTTCTTCGCAGATATCTTACGATCCCTGCATGATGGTCTTTGACCGCGGCTTCGTGCACGCTCGGCGGCGATGGGGTGCGATGCTGGGAGTGCAGGCGGCAAGACCGAGATTGGCGCAGAATGGCACTGGATGCGTGGCGAGCTCGAAGGATGCATTGAACGCATTTGCCCGTGGCGACTGCGCCCTTGCAGATGCGGCGCAGAAGTGCGCGCGCCCCGAGAACCGCATGATTGCGGCGCAGAAAATTCAAGGAGGCGATCATCTCGCCACCTAGTTCAGATTGACCACTTCGGATGGAGACTGGGGGATTAATGGGTGACCTATTCACGGTGCGATTATTGCAAGGCACATTCAGTGGGCCAATCCATGCATGGGTAGAGCATGCGCACGACGACTTCAGAACACCGCTTAATTGCTGTTGGAATGTAGGTTCTGGGGGCCTGTCTCTCGTGGAAATTCGCAGATCATTTGGATGTTTGACGTGGCCGCTAATGAGTGCCCGCATCTTGCTTTCATTCAGCGGCCCGCCTCCTCCGACGCGGTACTCAGCTATGCGCTGTCTGCTGTGGGGCGCGCTCGGAACGCGCCCGAGCAGGCGTTCGTTGTGCGCGCAGGGAATGGCGCGGTCGAGCGCAAGAGATGGCAGACAAGAAATTGGCGCGAGCTCATTCATGGGGGCCCATGCAGCAGGATGTTAGTTATCTCGGGCCGGGTGTGTCTCTGGGTGGGCGCGCGGGGGTGGTTCCAGTTTGGGCGTTCGGCAGCAGGCGGTGCTTTCTGAAGCTCGGGGGATGTCCGGCAGTTTTTTCTACCCCGGAAGTTCAACGCGTGCTTTTTGATTGGCCCAGCCCAGAACGCGTTGCTTGGCGGGGCGGGCCTATTCTTGCATCGACGGCGAAGATGCAGCAGTTAGAGAACAAGTTGGCGCACTTCGGGCGGGTGGCCCTGCAGGGGGAGGCCAAACGTGAGGGTCCTGTCCGCGTTCGGTCTTGGGTTACGTTTGAAACCTCCCAGATCTGGAAACTCGCCCCGACGGAAACTGAATTCTCGCGCGTCGACTTCGACGGCGCCGAGGGCGGGCTGTGCAACTGGAAGGGCATTGACAGGGGTTGGCAGCGCTTTTTGGTGCATTGAATGCGCGACCGCGCTGCTAGATCTTTTCGCTGCAGGTGGGGCGCGCAGGGATTGTGCTTTCCCGCGGGGCATGCGCGCAGCCGGATTTCGCTCGCGCTGGCGAGCTGGCGGGCGAGCCGCCTGCCCCCCCCCCCGCTCGCCGAAAAACGCAGTCGAAGTTGGCGGAGAAGGAGATCGCGGCCGACGTGGTCCGAGTCGAGCTCGCCGGATCCGAGCCAGGTCCGTGCGAGCGCGGGCGCCCCTCCTGGAGGCGCCCATGGCCCCGCGGCCCCATTCGGCGGCCCTGGGCGACGCCGAATCGCTGGCGCGCGCTTGGAATGGGGGGGGGGGGGGGGGACGTGCAGCGCGCGTTTCGCCGAATCGCCGTCGCGCTTGCCGCGGTGTTCGCCTTCTCGCGCGCGCGTCGGCGCCCGCTGACTGGCGCGTTGCGCGCGCGGGTGGGATTCGCCCCCGCGTGACAGCATCTCGTCATCCTGCTCGAGGTCCATCGACGGGCGTGTGTCCGTGCGCGGGTAGTGCGACTTTCCGACTTCTTCTCCGGCCCGAATCCCTGGCGTGCCAGTTATGTTCGGCGACGCGGCGACGCCTGCGAACGCCGAGGAGCTCCGCGGTCGCGCGCTCAACCATATTTCTCGCGAAGTAGGGCCGCCCCCAGACATCGCGCGCGCGCCGCTCGGGCGATCGGCGCGGCCGAGGCGGGCGTCCGCGGCGGGCGGGGGGGGGTGTCAGGCGCGGAGACGTTCGAGCGGGGGGCGGCCGAGGTCAGGGGCAATGGCGAAGATGCGCTCGGCGACCTCGCGCTTGCCATTGCCCGCCTGGCCCTGACAAACGCGAGGGTCGCAGCGGAGGCGCGCGGCGCGAAGTGCGCCGCGTTCGAGATCGAGTGCGAAGACGGAGGAAAAAGCCCAGCGCCACATCTCGAGGAAGCGGGCAGAGAGTGCAACGCAGAGAGCCAGCGGCTGAAGAAGGCCCAGGGCGAGGGAGAGGCAGTCGTCTTCGACGCGCGCGGGCCCCGTTACGCGCGCAACTTTCGCGCGTTCCTGATGCGGCGTGAAGGGCAGTCTTTCGGGGAAGTCGAGATCGCGTCAGTGGGCGAGCTGTTGGCGCATATTGTTCTGGCGCGCAAGCCGAAGGAGGTCGTATATATTGCCCCGCACTTCAAGTTCAAAAAGAACAAAGGCCCCGCTGGGGCGACGGGGGAAGCTCGTCTGATCAGTTGTTTCGATGTGACGGGCGCGCTCAGACCAGGCGTGGCGAAGTTGCGCGATTTGCGTGGGGCATTCTTCAAGAAGTACGGCCGTGGCGTGAAGAAGGTAAGCGTCGACCTTCGCTGTCCTCGCGAGAGGGGCGCGTCTCGCCTGCTCGGGTCTCCATCGAAGTATATGGAGCCACTCGTGTGTGGGGGGGGGGGGAGGGCGGGGGGGAGTCTGTTGCTACTGCTGCCGCGGGGAGGGGGTCTCGTTCGCTCGGTGCGTGGGTGGGGCCGAGGTCTGTCTTCGAACCTCCCCCCCATGGTCCTCCAGAGTGTCAGTCAAGCTTTCAAATTCAGGACGTCAGCCGTGAGTTTTTTGGAGTTCTGAGGGTCAGGTTCATGGCCAGAAGTTCCGACAGTGTTTTTTTCCAGGGCCGACAGAGGTAGTGGCCGAGGAACCTCCCATATTTCTGGACCCTCGGCTGGCCCCCGACGTTCTCCTTGATGGGGTGCCGGTGGCGATGGCTGTGCGGCCCTAGTGCCAGAGCCCATGGCGAGTCGACAGGTTCTTCAATGAACCCTTGAGAGTTCGAGCGATCTGCGGATTAGTCATCGTTCAGGTGTTAGAGCAGATCAGATCTCTGCGAACTTCATCGGCATCGGTATCCTGCTGCTTCTCCTTCCTCTCTTGCTCCCGCGCCTCCGCTTCTTTTTTCTTCTTATTATTCCTCTTCTTTCTTCCTGTTATTCGTATCATTGGTGTACTTACTTTTTTATATGGTTATTCTTTTAATTCTTCTTCATCAGCACCATCATCTTCTTCTTCGTTTTCTTCTTATTTCTGATATTTACCAGCATTATTGTGATTATGGCTGTTTTTATCACTGTGAGTATTATTGTTCTTATTGTCATTGAGACTTTCTTTTTTCCTCCAGTGTCCTCCTCTCCTCCAGAAGTTCCCTCCCGGACTTCTGCACGGGTGCGCCTTGACCAGCACTTCGGGAACACTCCGGCCGCGGCTACTGAGGCATCGCGACCACAAACAGCTGCCCCCAAATTTCGACGTCAGTACTCCGAGGCTCCAGGCCTTTCCTCCTCCCGCGCCTGCGGTGGCGGCGGCGCTGGCGCGGGCGCGGGCTCCGCGTCGGCGGCGGCGCGGGCGCGGCGACCAGCGGCGCGGCGTCGTCGTCGTCGTCGTCGTCGTCGTCGCCGTTGCCGTCGCGGAGCCGTTTGCTTGCGCCCCGCGCAGGCTAAATATCGGGCGCTCTTCCGGGAGAAGCTGGACCCGCTGGGCAGGCCCGTCGGCTACGCCACCTTCCGCGGGCGCCCCGCCCCCCGCGCCCGTTGGCGCTGCCGCCGCCGCAGCCGTCGCCGCCGCCGCCGCGGCCGTCGTCGTCGTCGTCGTCGTCGTCGTCGTCGTCGTCGTCGTCGTGCTCCCCCGCGCGCGCCGAAACGCGTGCGGAGGAATATATGGACGAGGAGCAAGAGGAGGAGGAGGAAGAGGAAGAGAACGAGGAAATCGAGGACCAGCGTAAACCCAAAGGTCATCAACGATGTTGGAATAAACCCCTCCCCCCAAACTCCCTCCTCATAGGCCCCTACAAGGGCTTGTGTCCAGTGAATAATCTGTTTCGTTGGAAGAGAACCGTATGAAAACCCTGAAGCATGCCAACGTATTGTTTCGGGACTAATGCCACGGGTCAACTTGAGTGTTGCGCCTTGACGATCATGAGACGCACCAAAACGCCATTCCTGTGACTTCAACACCGCGAACCCATGTAACTCTTGCACCCGCGTAATCCTGAATCCTTCCAAACAACGCCATCTGTGGTACGCTGATCATGGGAAACCGTGAAATTCTTGCAAGTGTTTGCAACGAGTGTGCGCGGCGCTAAGGCGAGAGTCCCATTTTGAAAAGGAACCGTTTTCAATGTGTGAATCATGTGCAAGTTTTTAAAACGAATGTGCGCGTCGCTAAAGCGGTTACATATTGAGAACCAGTCGCCCTCAATCCGTGAGGCTCTTGCGCATGTTTAAAGCGAATGTGCGCGGCGCTGAGGCGAGAGCCACATATTGAAAACCACCCGCCCTCCATTTGTCAAACTGTTGCCATTTTTAAGCTTCAGGGCCAGAAGGGGTGAGGAAATTTCAGGCGAAACGCCGGGCCCGCCCTAAAAACTGGTTTCGGGGTGCGACAGGGAAAAATATGTATAAGAGCAAGGAATGGAGGAGGAGGAGGAAGAGGAGGAGGAGGAACAGCAGGATGAGGAGGAGGCAGAGGAGGAGGAGGAAACGGAGGAGGAGGAGGAGGAGGAGGAGGAGGAGGAGGAGGAGGAAGAGGAGGATGCTCAGAATGGACTCGGAACCTGAAGGGGGGGCGGACGCTGGGGAAGGGGGTGGAAGGAACCAGGAACAGGAGGAGCAGGAGGAGGAGAAGGAAGAGGAGGAGGAGGAGGAGGAGGAGCAGGGTGCAAACCTAAATCATCAACGATGCTGTAATACACCCTCCCTCCAAGCTCCCTTTTCATAGGCCCCTACAAGGGTTCATGTCCACCGAGGGCATGGCCCTGTTGTGGGACATGCGTGTGAAACTCCTGTAGCGCGCCAAATCACCATTCTCAGGACGCCAACGCCACGAGCTAACCTGACTGTTGCACCGTGACGATCCTGAATCGCGCCAGAACGCCATTCGTCGGACTTCAACACCGCGAATCAACGTAACTGTGGCGCCTTGGCAATCTTGAATCGGTCCAACATACCGTTCTGGTGCGTTAGCCCTGAGAACCAGCGAAATCACTGTAAATTGTTAGCACGAGTGTACGTTCCGATAAGGCGACAGCCACAGTTTGAAAAGGCGGAGGAGGATGAAGAGGAGGAGGAGAATGAGGAGGAGGAGGAGGAGGAGGAACAGGAGGAGGAGGAGGAGGATGAGGAGGAGGAGGAGGAGGAGGAGGCGAGGAGGAGGCGAGGAGGAGGAGAAAGAACAGGGGGGACATGGAACGCACAAGGACAAGGGGGGACAACAGAAAACAGGGGGGACACTTTGAAGCCTGGGGAGGGACGTCCGCACCCCCTGGCTCCCTCCGCCTGTCCGCCGCCTCCGCGCGCCCCGCTCCGGCCCGGCTCCGCCCGGGCCCCTCCCTCAGCCGCGCAGGCCGTGGTGGCACGGGGCCGCCCATCGGGGGCGGCAAAGAGGGGGGTGATGACTAGGGGGGGGTGGATATCATGGCGGGGGCCATGATATTTCCCCAGATTTCATGGCGCCTCTTCTTATTTCATTACGTCCCTGGCCCCCCCGCTGGGCCGCGCACATGCCGCCGGTCATGATTTGCACCCCCCCCTCTTGGAAACCCCCCTCTTGGCCGCTCCCGAGCCCACGCGAGGGGAAGCGGACGGGGCCAGGACGAGGATAGGTCCGGTCGTCTGTCGCCCTGGTCGGTGTCGGCGAGGGGTTCGTCGAGGCTGCGAGCAGCAAGTCGCACCAGAGGTGGTGGTTTCTCGATGTCGGCTCTAGTGGCCCGCTTGGGGCTCCCAGGGCCGCCAAGGGTGGAGCCAGAGTGGAAGTGCTGACCAGGATGGACCTCACGAGGGGTCTGGGCACACATTTTGAACAGTTTGGGGTCGGAGGAGACTTCGGACGGGGCTAGGACGAGGATAAATCCGTTCCACAGCGTTCCGGAACGCTCTCAGAGCGTTCTGGAAGGGGCAGAGGTCGGCGTTTCAAATAATTGTGAAACCCTGAGAGTTGGGGCCCGAAGTACAGGCATGGACCCCAAGTTAGATCCGTATTGTTTGAGGGCCATCGTCGTCAGGGCCCCATCCGTCCAGGCCCCATTTTTGTCGGGATCCCGCAAAAAGCGGGGTGTGTCCCAGTGTGTGTGTGTGTGTGTGTGAGAGTTCGATCGGCTTTCGCACCGAACCGCCCAAACAGATGCCCCCCAGCCGCCGGCAGCTCCGGGTAGTTGCCGCTAGGCGGGGCATGCGGGGGGCATCTGTTTGCGGCAGTTCGGTGCACCAGCGGATCGAACTCATCCCTTCCCTCAGGGTCACCCCCCCTTTTGGTGGATACCGATAATGAGACGCCGAAAAACCTGACCGGCCGCGGGCCTTCTCTGCGCAGCAGGTATGTGCAGCAGGTGCTCCAGGGCCTCGACCGGAACCTCACGGCGCAGGACATGCGCGAGCGGCTCCCCAGGGGGAGCGTCGGGGGGCAGCGTCGGCAGGGAACGTCAGGGGCCCCCGCTTCCGGGGGATCGTCCCGGGGGGGATGCAGTGGAAACCGATGGTAAAGATGGTTACCCATCCGTCGTTGAAAGTAGGTATTTTGGGATTCCCAGGTGTCGATCTCTTTAGACGCCTTCCTACTTCAATGATCGAATGGCTTCACCTTTTCCGTCCTCTTCAAGGTGCGGGCGGACGCCCAATCTATTTTCAACGCCTTCCCATTTCACGTTTCTGCCCACTTCTTCCGACCGCCGGTAAGGATGGGTAGCCTTACCAAGGGTACCCTTGCATCCTTGTCTCCTCGGCCCATCCTTGACTTTGGATGGCTGGCCGCGCGCAGAAAAAGAACTCTTCACACGGGCGTCCAAGGGGCCTGCATCCTGATCCTGCACGTCCAGTATCCACTTGGACCGTAGGCTCAATGGGGTTCCTCTCGGCGCCGTTCGCGCACAGGAGGGGTTCCTGCGCACCGCTTCTGTTGCCTTCGGGTCAACGCGGACGAGGCGAGCGAACCTCCAGGCGATGTCGCAATGGGGGGGACGCACCGGCCCACAACCGCCCGTCCATCGCCGCTCGGGGCCCGAGGGCCCGCCCGCCCAGGAGCGTGCGGGCTCGCTGTCGGGGCCCATCGCCGAGCTGTCGGCGAAGTATTTGACGACGCCAGGGCGACGCTGCCCGCCCCTGGGCCAGGCCCCCCCAAACGCTTCCCCCCCCCCCCCCACCACTTCGCGTCGCGACAGACATCACGGCGGACGGTTTTTGGCCTTCGTCGGCCTCTGGGGGCCCTCGCTGGGTCCCAGGACACAGTGGCCGCCGGCCCTTGCGTCGCGACAGGCGTTACGACGGACGGCTTTTGGCCGCCTGCGGTTTCTGGGGGCCTTCGCTGGGCCCTGGGATCGTTCACGCGATGACCCAATATGGGGAGACCAGCCCCGGGGAAGGTCGGCCACGTGCAGGCGGGGTCCGTGGAGGGGGGGAAGGCTTCTTACAAGCGCCCGTGCTTCTCAGAGGGCGCGGGCCTTGTCTACAGATGCTGGGCCAGCGCCTCCTAAGCAGTAGCCTCCGTCCAAGAAGACCTTCCCCCCGCCCCCTCACCCTACCCCTTCAGCGCACCGCCAGATGCCAGCCCCGGGGAAGGGGTCCCGTGCTACAGGTGTCCGCGTTGTGAGGAGATCGCGGCGGATGGGTTCTGGGAGGGGAGCGGGGGGAGGGAGGGACGGGAGGGACTGAGGCTCCGGCCCCTCCTCTCTTCCGCTTCCATTTGGCTCGTTTCTTTCTCCTGCGCCTCGTCCTCCTCCCCGCCCTCCCCCCGCTTCCCCCTGCCCCGTAGGGGGGGCGCACGGGTGCGCACTCTGCGCGACTCGATCGGCGCAGTGGTTCGTGCCGATTTCTGCATGCTGCGTCGATCGGTTCGATTACGGACTACGCGAGTATTCTCTCCACGGATATGAGGCCGATTCGCTCGGTTCGATGGCGCAAGCGGTTTCGACTACTCTGCGATTGCGTGAGGGTTGCCTTTGGACAGCCGTTGGGAAGGGAAGGAGAGGAGACAGGAGCAAAACGGGGAGAGGGAATTGGGGGAGAGAAGAGCGAACGAGGGAGAACAGGAACGACAAAGGACAGGTTGGGTAGTGGGATGGCGAATCATCCAGCTGCTTCCGGCAATTCTGCCACCGCGCCAGCGCAGCATCATGGGTTGCAACTGCCAGCGAGGCACCATGTTCGCCCAGGGGCCCTCGGAGGAGGGGCGATGCACGCAACTGGGCGTGATGAGCGGCGGGGGGGTGCGTTAGAAGACTACAGAAACCCTGCTAGCCAGCACTTGGAATTCTTCCACGCCTCAACGTGCCAGGGGAAGCGGTGGCGGACTGTCATCAAGGCCGTATGGGGAGTGGTGCGACCACTGAGATTCTCGAGCGGCCCAAGTCGCGTTCGTGCCCTGTTGCTACCACAGCCCGATGGCTGTTGGTGTGGCCACGCGCTTCAAGCCATTCTGTACAGTTTAGCCGCTTGTTTGTTCGACCGGTCTACCTCTTTACATCGGGCACGGTTTCTTTGTAATACCCAGCGGTCCAGGTTTGTGTTGGCGCAGTGTTCTTCGTTCACATGTTTGCACGCACGGCGCGTGCGTGTTCCTGAAAGCATGTGGCGCGTGTGTTCCACCACGCATATGCGTACCAGCGCGCCCAATGCCCGTCGGGCACGTCCAGCGCATGGACTCATCTGTGCCCCGTGGACCAGACCTTCGGACAACCATGCCAGACAGGCGCTCCCTCCGCTGCTCGTCTTCCCCTCCCCGCGGACCTCGAACGAAGATGGGCTGATGCACCCGGAGGGGCCACGGCCCCGCCGCCGACCTCCTTGCGAGTCGCTCCGGACGCGTTGCTTGCTGCGGGACTGGCGCGCGCCTCGCCCCTCGTCCGCCTCCCGTGTAGTCCCCCCTCCACGCCCTCGCCCTTCCCTCCTCCCTCTCCGCCTGCCCTTCTGCCCCTTCCGCGTGCTCTCGCCGCCCCCTGTCAATCGGTATCCTCCCCTCTCATTCGGCTCGCCCCCCCGGTGCTGCTTCTCGTCCTCCCCTCCCCCTCCCGGCCCCCGCTGCCCTCCCATTCCCTCCCCTCTCGCCCTCCTGCCCCGCCCCTCGCTTCCCCTTCGCCCCCGCCATCCCTCGTGCGTCGCCCCTCGCCACCCCCTCCCCTCCCCCCCCTATCCTCCTGCCGCCGCACCGCTCCCCTGCCGTTTCTCCTGGCTCGCCCCCCCCCTCTCTCCCCCGTCGCTCGTTGCTGCGCGCGCTCAGCGCGGGCCGAGAGAGAGAAAGCGAGGAAGGGGCCGTGCGCCGCCGGATGGTGGACCATCGGCCACCCCCCAGTATTCCAACGGCCAGTTTTTTCCCACTTCCAGCGATCTTCCTAGCGGTCGGCCTCTGGGCCCCCCCCCCATCGACCCCGGGGCCATCACTTCTGGGCGCGGATGTCCCCACCTGTGCATCTCATGCTCCCGTCGCGTGTCGTTAGGGAATTCGGTCTACGCGTGACGGTGTGGGTGTGGGAGCGAGTCCGCGCAGACGACGGGCGTAGCAACGACGATGACGACGACAGCGACGACTTCTGCGACGTCCTCCCCCTCTGGATTTCTGTGACGTCCTCCCCCTCTGGACTTTTTTTCAGGAGACGGGGGTAGCGCAAGTGGAAGGGCGAAGGGGATTTTCCTTGCCATTCTCCCCAACGCAATTCAAACAAGCGCGCATTGGACTTTTGGACTGGTTTCGGCACTGGCGGCTCCCCCGTGGGGTGCCCGAGTGGCACGCCTGTTATATCGCGGTGAACAGTGGGCCAGCAGAAAACTCTGAGTGGGTGTGGGTGAGGAAAACTGTGTCGGAGCGATCGAGTCTGAATGTGCATGAATGAAGCTTTGTTTGAGGCCAAATCCCAGAGTAGGTCTGAGTGAGTCTGGGTTTGACTGAGTCGGATTGGGGAAATGACGTGGGCGAGCCTGCGTGAGGAAGAGTGGGTCTGTGATGGAAGCCGTGAAGAAGAGTGGCTCTGTGATGGACCCCGTGCTGGACGTGAGTGATCTCAAAGTCAGTGGCTGGGTGATGCGAGAGTGAAGAGGAGGAAGAGGACGAAAAGGAGGAGAAGGAGGAAGGAGGTCCGGAGGCGCTTAAGTAAGATCATTAATATTTTCTTCCCAGGACGTGGGGGGAGAACACAGATCTTGGGCCAAAAACATCCCGGGTAAGGGGTCGGTACCTCCTGGGGCCGCGCATGGAACAAGTCACATCGCCGGATGTCTCCAGGTCTACCCTCTGGGGCGCGAAGGCAATCGCGCTTCGCTCTATCAATCGCCCCCACCCATTCCGGCACACTGACACTTGCCCTACCATGGCTCTCGTTTCGCTCCTCTCCCTGCCGCGCCGCGCCGGGCCCGAGGAGATGATCGTGGAGCAGTTTGTGGCCGAGGCCCGCCGGCCTGTCGATCCGCTGGCCGATTCGGATGGGAGTTGCATGCCGAATGCTGATGTTCATGTCGATGGCATTTTTCGGGCCGGGCGAAAGGGGGGGATTGGGAAAGGGGGGGTTACGAAATTTGATGCATGCAGCTGGTTTCGGCCTCACCGAGGGGCCCATTCCTCGATACATAGCCGCTTCCGGCGCCGGGAAAATCAGCTTCGTGAGCTGATTCTCACCCCCCCCTTGGCTATCCCCCCCTTTCGCCCGACCCCAATTTTGCACGTCATGTCGAGGTGAAGTTCGAGCACCATTTCTCGAAGAAGAAAGCATGCAAGACATGCACTTCCACCGCTCCGCTCGGATTTTTTTCGGACCCGCGCGCGGAGCCCCTGGCGGCGGCGGAGCGCGCCAGGGAGGGGGGGGCCGCGCAAATCCAAGAAACATCCGCGCGGACCGTCGACAGTTTGTGCTTATTCTCAAGGGCTCCCTCGAGGGCGCGAAGTTATTCGCGCTTCGCGCTTCGCGGTCCTCGTTCCTTCTCCCCCTCCTCCTCGTCCTCCTATTCTCCCTTTGGGAGGGCGGCGCGAGAGCGCGAAGTTATTCGCGCTTCGCGCTTCGCGCAGCGCGAAGCGCGAAGTTGGGAGCCCTAGATTCTTTTGTTCTTCTCCCTCCAGTTTCGACATGCGTGCCGGTTTGCATCTCGAATCACGTCGATGAAGGCACGACGTGTGCTTCGGGCTGTATCCCAATGTGCATGTCTATTGCGGTTGGATCTGCGTTCCGCCCGACGTGCGCGTCGATGGCAGTTCGACCTGCCTTCCGATTCGCAGGTCGACTCACGTGTCGAACAGCACTTGCATTGGCAGGCCGATCTGGATTACGACGGCCATTTCGATTTGCATTAGCCCCTCCCGTTGGATTCGCCTTTCGACTTGCACGTCCCGCGGGACAGCCCGCGGGGCAGCCCGCGGGGCAGCAACAACGGGGCAGCCTGCGGGGCACCCGCCCAGACCTGCCTCTGACCAGCCCCCCTCAGGAGGGAGAGCAACGCACAGACACAAGGAATCCTCCCCTCCCCACAAGATGTGGGAAACCATGGGCCATGGGAAGTGGGGGGGGAGGCAGGAACCGAGAAACTATGAGAAAAAAGGGGAATCCTTTTGTTTGTGTGTATTTATTTGTTCAGAGCGTGAATTACCTACCCCGCTTTCGCTTCCAGGAAAAACCAAGGCATACCACGCGCCTCCTCGTCAAGCGTCCTGACCAGTACAGGCCGTAGTTTGGCATCGCTTGGTATCTCTTGGAAGCGAGGGTGGTCAAAAGCGAGGTAGGTTTGTTTGCCCCCTATTTGTGTGTCCCAGGGCCCCTTCACCCCCGGTTGCCCGCACTGGGCTTCCTGGGAGCCAGCGGCAGCGAGCAGAGCAGCCCGTCGAGCCGGGCGGAGCCGGGCCCCGCCGCCGGGGGAACTCTGGGGGGAAACGGCTCGCGCGCGCAGGGGCGACCCTACGCAAGGGTGACCCTTCGCCAGAGTGACCTCGTCCTCGTCCTCGTCTTCCTCGCCCTCCTCCTCGCCTTCCTCCTCGTCCCCGTCCTCCTCCTCTCCTCCTCCTCCTCCTCCTCCTCCCTCTCCTCCTCCTCCTCTCCTCCTCCTCCTCCTCCTCCCCCTCCTCCCTCTCCTCCTCCTCCTCCTCCTCCTCCTCCTCCTCCTCCTCCTCCTCCTCCTCCTCATGATCGTCCTCGTCGTGGGGCTGGCCCGGTCGATCCAGCACGTGTCGCGGCTTGAGGCCCCCGCGCGGGGCCAGGCCCGGGCGCGCAGACCGCAGACCGCACCCGTCGCTCTGCTTGCAGCGACCAGCGACCCGCGCACCAGAGGCCACTCTGGCCAGGGCCCATATCTCGGGTCGGGCGAAAGAGGGGGATTGGAAAGGGGGGGTTACGAAATCAGCTGCATGCAGCTGGTTTCGGCCCCGCTGCCGGGCCCATTTCTCGATACATGGGCGTCTCCCGGCGCCGGGAGGCGCCGGGAAAGTCGGCTACGTGAGCTGATTCTCGAACCCCCCCTTTGCTATCCCCCCCTTTCGCCCGACCCGACACTCTGGCCAGGGCCCATATCGATCCGAGTCGACTCGACATCGAATCCGGCCAGCCTGATACGATTCGATGCCGATGCTCCGATGCGATGCGGCCGTGGCTTCCTCGGCGCAGCCGTGCGTCCTTGCGCGGCCGGCCTGCGTCGATCCCAACCTCGTGCCCTGAGCGTCCCAAGTCGGCGCCCTTTCCGATCCGATCCGGCTTCCCGACTCGATGCTGACCGGTCTTGCTCTTGCCTAGCGTCACTCTTCCCAGGATTTCGCCGTCGTGTTTTTCCACAGCGTTGACCCCCCCCCCTCCGCCTTACCTGCCTTCCGTCCCGAGCCGTTTTCTGACGGCTGCATTCTTGCCAACAAATGTTATTCCGTGTTGTTCCCAACCATTTTGTGATGTTGGGTCTTCGTTTCGAAGAGAGCTCCTCGCGTCCCTCCTCTCCTCTCCTCTCCTATCCTCCTCCTCCTCCCTCCTCCATCATCATAAGCATCATCATCGCTGTCACCATCGTTATCATCACCATTGACCATCATCGTCATCATGATCGCAGTCATCATCGCCATCATCCCCACTGATTTCGGCCCACGCAGTACAAAGCTCCGTGGCCCCATAGTGAGCTCCCCAGAAGGCCCCAGTGGTGATGTTCGCATGCGTCTCCCCCACCCAGTACAGCGTTTCGTGGCCCCACAGGGAGCTCCACCGAAGGCTCCAGTGTCGGTGTTCGCATGCGTCTCCCCACCGAATACAGCTTTCATGGCCCTAGAGCTCCGCCGAAGGCCCCAGTGTCGGTGTTCGCATGCGTCTCCCCCACCCAGTAAACCGTTTGGTGGCCCTACAGGGAGCTCCACCGAAGGCCTTAATGGCGGTGTTCGCATGCGTCTTCCCTGCCCAGTACAGCTCGTCGTGGCCCCATAGGGAGCTCCACCGAAGGTCCCAGTGTGGGTGTTCGATTGCGTCTCCCCTGCCTAGTACAGCGTTCCGTGGCCCCATAAGGAGTTCCACCGAAGGCCCCAATGGCGGTGTTCGCATGCGTCTCCCCCGCCCAGTACAGCGTCTCGTGGCCCCATGGGGAGCTCCACCGAAGGCCTCAGCGGCGGTGTTCGCATGCGTCTCCCCACCGAATACAGCTTTTCGTGGCCCAATAAGTTCCACCGAAGGCCCTAGTGGCGGTGTTCGCATGCGTCTTCCCCACCCGCTACAACGTTTCGTCGTTGCCCCACAGGGAGCTCCACCGAAGGCCCCAGTGTCGGTGTTCGCATGCGTCCCCCCTACCCAATAAAGCGCCTCGTGGCCCCATAGGAAGCTCCACCGAAGGCCCCAATGGCGGTGTTCGCATGCGTCTCCCCTACCCTGTACAGCTCTTCGTGGCCCCATAGGGAGCTCCACCGCAGGCTCCAGTGTCGGTGTTCGCATGCGTCTTCTCCGCCCAGTGCAGCGTTCCGTGGCCCCATAGGGAGCTCTACCGAAGGTCCCATTGTGGGTGTTCGATTGCGTCTCCCCCGCCTAGTACAGCGTTCCGTGGCCCCATAAGGAGTTCCACTGAAGGCCCCAATGGCGGTGTTCGCATGCGTCTCCCCCGCCCAGTACAGCGTCTCGTGGCCCCATGGGGAGCTCCACCGAAGGCCTCAGCGGCGGCGTTCGCATGCGTCTCCCCCGCCCAGTACAGCGTCTCGTTGCCCCACAGGGAGCTCCACCGAAGGCCCCAGAGTCGGTGTTCGCATGCGTTTCCCCTACCCAATAAAGCGCCTCGTGGCCCCATAGGAAGCTCCACCGAAGGCCCCAATGGCGGTGTTCGCATGCGTCTCCCCTACCCTATACAGCTCTTCGTGGCCCCATAGGGAGCTCCACCGAAGGCTCCAGTGTCGGCGTTCGCATGCGTCTTCCCAGCCCAGTACAGCGTTCCGTGGCCCCATAGGGAGCTCCACCCAAGGCCCCAGTGGCGGTGTTCGCATGCGTCTCGCCCGCCCAGTACATCGTTTCATGGTCCCATGGGGAGGTCCACCGAGGGCCCCAGTGTCGGTGTTCGCATGCGTCCCCCCCACCCAGTACAGCGCTTCGTGGCCACATAGGGAGCTCCACCGAAGGCTGCAGTGGCGGTGTTCGCATGCGTCTCCCCAGCCCAGTACATCGTTTCGTGGCCCCATAGGGAGTTCCACCGGAGGCCACAGTGACGGTGTTCGCACGCGTCTCCCCCACCCAGTACAGCGCTTCGTGGTCCCATAGGGAGCACCACTGAAGACGATACCCACACCTGCGGCGTTCACAACTGCATATGGTTGAGTCCTTCGCCAGGCCCAACCTTGGGGGCCTCTTGGGGGCCTCTTGGGGGCCTCTTGAGGGCCTCTTGGCCCTTCTTGGGGCTTTCTGGAGGGCCTCGAGTGCGGCGCCCACCCGACCCGACCCAGCCAGGGATCTCTGACCCGAACCGGCCGGGGACCGCCCGGGGGACTTTTCGTCCGGGGACCCCCAGGGGGAGCTCCGCGCGCGCGAGGCAGAGATACTGCACGCAGTTGCCGGAGATCTTAGCACGCCTCTGGCCGTTGGGCCGGCGAATTTCTACGACGCGATTGGGAGTTCTGGCTTTCTGGCCACACCTCGGACCTTCCCTTCGGCGGGCGTTCGGCACCCCGGGAGAGTCCACGACGAGGTGCAGCCGCCGGAGCGCACCCCGAGGCAGGCAGACCTGCAGGAACGCCGACGAAACATCTGGCCATTGCCCCTGGACGTGTGAGCGTTTTTGATTCATGGTTTTGCCGATCGGCGCGGGCCCTCGCACCCCTCCCCCCCCCGTGGAGTAGCTCCCGGCTGTTTTTTGACGCCTGTTTCGACCGGGTGGAGCCTCTCCCATAATGGACGCACGGTCCCAACACAGTCGCACTAATTAAGCAGAGGTCCGGAGCCAGACCCCCCCACTCCCCTTCCCTTCCGCCCAATGTCGAAACGCCGAATCAAAACACGCTCACCATCACGATGTGTGTTTCTCAAAGCGCGGCCCAGAGGTCCCGACCCTTTTCCAGGGCAAGTTTTCCGCCCTGTATCCTTTTTTGTTGGTCCTAGGGTCTTCACGTATCCCTGGACGCCGAGAAATGGAGGTGAGTGCCCGGATTGAAAAAATCATACCATCGGAGATTTGGGTTTCGCTGCCTCTAAGGGACCTGCTCTAGGGTGCGTTTCCGACCAGGATTTCGAGGCGCATCCAACCGTGGTGATGAGAAGCTCCCCAGAAGCCCAGAAAACACGAAGAACAGCCAGAACTCTAGATCTTCGAAGCTCGGCCCTCGATCCATGACCTGCAGCCGAATCTCTTTCAGGGGGCGGGCGCTATGCCAATCTGCTCCCAACGCCTTCCTACTTCGTGCTTCGACCTACTCTTTCCGACCGACGGGCATCGATGCGGGCCCGCGACGGCGCCTCAGAGGCCGCGCGAGCGCCGCGCGGCCGCGGCCCAGGCCGGCTCGGCGCGGGCAGCCTTCCGCGTGCCCTCCTTCGCGGAGTCCGCGGAGCCGCCGGCCGGCCCCCGTTGGCCTCCCCTCGAAGGCTGCTGCTGCTGCTGCTGCTGCTGCTGCTGCTGCTGCTGCTGCTCGCGTCTCTGGGAGGGGGGCCCTTCCCTTCTCTCGGGGGGGGCCCCAACTGCCAGGCGATCGCAGACATGGATCAATGGGGGCGTGGATTAGCGACGGGTCCTGTTTCCGTGGGAAGTCGCAGATTTCCGCCGCCGAGCGAGGCGGCACCGGCCGCATTTTGGGGAAGGCATGCCTCCCCCGATCCATGTTTGCGTGTCCCCGATATTGGTGCGGTGACCACACCGTGTGGTGAGTCAGTGGGGATTCAGCGTGGCCGCACGGTTTTGGGACAGGGTCGATCTCCGAGGATGTCTCGGGCGACTTGGGGGGCCTCCGATGTCCCACGGACCGTGCGGTGAGGTCTCTCGGGATTTCGAGTTCACCGCGTGGTCTGTCACCGCACGGTTTCGAAGTAGGACGCCATTTGAATTTCTTGGCGATACAAAAACAGTCGTGACTGGAGGAGGGGGGGCAGGTGGTGGAGGGGGGACGGCGCTGGTAACATCACCGTGCGCGCTGGCGCCGTCTGGCAATGCTATAGGAATGGCTAGTTCCAAGCGGGCGCCAGCGCGAATCGCGACGTTACCAGGGGGGGAGGGGGGCGAGGGGACGATAACAGGCGTCACCGTGAAACATTGAATAATGGCTTCTGTCTCGATTCCACATTGCCTCCTTGACGACATCACGGGATCCGTAGCTGATGCGTGAATTTCGCGATGTCAGGCGCAAGTTTTTGCGTGAGACCTCAGAGGTCGCGCAAACCTCGCGCGAACTTCCCGTATACCACCACGAGAGTTGTTGGGAACCCTTTCAGAACTTTTGCAGGATAGGCTCCGGGGGGACCCCAGGTTTGAGGTTTGACGGCGTTTTCGTGGGTTCTCGCCGTTTTCCCAGTCTTGGATGCTGCCGAACTTGGCAGGGAGCCGCATGTGGATGCACCCACAGGGGCCTTAGGCGGAGCACCCCATGCGGCCATGAAGCGTGTGATGAACCTGTCGAAACGGGCGGGAAGCCGCATGTGGACACACCCATGGGGTCCTAAATGGAGTTGCCTGTGGGGCCACGAAGCGTGCGAGCGGCGTGCCGAAATGAGAGCGGAACCGCATGTGGTCACAATCACTGGGGCCTTTGGTCTAGCTCCACATGGGGAAACAAAGCGTTTTAGTGATGTGCCGAAATTGGCAGGGAGCCGGCCGCATGCGGACGCACCCACCGGGGCTTTGCTACAATGGCTGTTGCCTTATTTTCGTGTGCCCTTCTCTGCTTCGCCGCTTCGCCTCCCCTGTCGCTAGTAGCACCACGGCGCAGCCTACAATGGTGTACCAAAATATGCCCCATCGGCGCAGGATTGTACGTCGGAAACTGGAGCATATACATAGCCAGTGACGGGCGTTTTTTTAACCTCGGACTTTTTTGAGGGTCGGGGACGACGTCGGGGTGGTGTGGTGTATACTTGTTTCTCCGTTTTCCCGGGAAACATTGGTACATGTCTACACCAGGGTCCCGTATACACCAGGCTCCGCTTTCTTGCGCAAAGGTCCGTGCAGGGCCGCATAAAACGTCGGAGTGTAGATGTGGGGCGGCGAAGAGGGGGGTGATGACTAGGGGGGGGGATTTTATGGCGTGGGCCATGATTTTTCCCTCGATTTCATGGCGCCTCTTCTTATTTCATTACGTCCCTGCCCCCCCCCTTGGACCGCGCACGTGCCGCCAGCCATGATTTGCACCCCCCCCCTCTTGGACACCCCCCTCTTGGCCGCCCCCGAATAGAGAGAGGTTCCCTAATACGACGGGAGACAGATGGGAGACAGTGGCGCCCCGCCGATTCCAGATCACGGTGGCCGCGCCCTCGGTCTCTCAGCAGACCGATCGTCCAGCGACCGCTTGGCTCCCTCCCCACTCGCTCGCGCCTCGGGACCTCCTCGACGTCCAAGCAGGCACCTCTCGGGGCTCATTTTTCGATTCCTCCGATTCGATCCGATTCGATTTCGGTGGCTTCCGATTCCGATTCGACTCGATTTGTCGGAGGGAGGAGAAGCGATACCAACACCACCAGGTGGCCCACCTCCAGCGAGGAGGTCCACGATGCCTCCCCGAGCCAGAGGCTGGGGATGTCTCGAGCGCGAGGGGGGGACCACACCGCCAGGGAGACCCCCTGGTGCCTCCTCGCATCTCCTCGCCCCGGTGGTGCTGGTGTCGCTTTGCCTTGTTCCTGACTCGGGATTCCGGTTTGGGCTCCGACGTCTTCATTGGAGGCCTACTCGCCCGACGACTTCCGCCGATGCGACTTTCCCCGACTCGGCTGCCGATCTCCTCCGATCCGATGTGTTTCGATTGCCGATCCGGCTCTGCCTTGTTCCTGACTCGGGATTCCAGTTTGGGCTCCGACGTCTTCATTGGCGGCCTATTCGCCCGACGACTTCCGCCGATGCGACCTTCCCCTGCCCCGAGGATTGTGTCTGCTACATCGCGATGATCATGGAACTCTGAAAGTAGACACGTCCACCTGCACAACGAGCGAATCGTTCGAGACATCCCGACGATCTGGGCTCGAACGGGCCCGTGCATCACCCTTTGCCGGCTCCCCCCTGGGGTGCCCGAGCGCAGTTCTTGCTGCGTTGCGGTGATCATGGGTGAGCGAGTCTGAGCGTGAGTGGTTCGTCTGACTTGAACGAAGGATTGCAAAAAAACCCAGGATTGCAAAAAAACCCTGGGCGAAGGATTGCAATAAGGATTGCAAAAAACCTTCTTGCAAGAAGAATTGCAACCCTGGTTTTTTTTGCAATCCTTCTTGCAAGAAGGTTTTTTTTGCAATCCTTCTTGCAACCCTGGGTTTTTTTGCAATCCTTCGTTGCAATCCTGTTTTTTTTTGCAATCACTCGGCTGCCGATCTCCTCCCATCCGATGTGTTTCGATCGCCGACCCGGCTCCTCGCTCCGAGTCTGGGCGCTCTCCCGCCTCCCGGCGGGGCCGCCCTCGGCCGCCTCGGACTCCGGAGGCCCTGGCTTGGTGCCGTCTTCGAGGCCTTCTCTGCGCCCACCCGGCCGTTGGCGTTTTTTTTTTTTTGTTGTTGTTTTATTGTTTTCCGTTTTGTAGATTATGATTCATAGTACATTAGATACATATACTGCATAGACCACCCTTCGGGTGATAAGGAGGCGAGGGGGGGGGGGACTACCGTCGCACTCGATCGATCTCACTATCGATCTCGCTATCGATCTCATTATCGATCTCATTCGATCAATCTCACAATCGATCTGGCTATCGATCTCACACTCGATCTCACTAACGATCTCACTATCGATATCACAATCGATCTCACAATATATCTCACAATCGATTTGGCTATCGATCTCACGATCGATCTCACATTCGGTCTCACGATCGATCTCACTACCGATATCACTATCGATCTCATTCGATCGATCTCACAATCGATCTCACAATCGATCTCACATTCGGTCTCACTATCGATCTCACTATCGATATCACAATCTATCTCACAATCGATCTCACAATCGATCTGACTATCGATCTCACTATCGAACTCACTGTCAAAGTCATGATCGACCTCTCGTTCGATCTCACTGTCGATCTCACTATCGATATCACAATCAATATCACAATCGATCTCACATTCGGTCTCACTATCGATCTCACTATTGAACTCACTATCGATCTCACTATCGATCTCACATTGGGTCTCACTATCGACCTCACTATCGATATCACAATCGATCTCACAATCGATCTCACATTCGGTCTCACTACCGAACTCACAATCATCACCACCATCATCACCATCATCATCATCATCATCATCGTTGTCAACATCATCATCATCATCATCATCATCATCATCATCATCATCATCATCATCGTCGTCATCATCATCATCATCATCATCACCGACGGGACACCGGCGGGACACCGGCGGGACACCGCGGGCCCCTGGCCGCCCTGAAGGGAGACATTTGGTCCGGCCGCGCCTCAGCCACACGGGACACCAGCGGGACACCGGCGGGACGGGGTGTTAGTGCCCATTTCCAGGCCTCCAAGATTCAGGAGGAGAAAAAACACACAGACACAATTAATCGTCGGTTCCCCAGAAAATATGGGAAAATATGGGAAGTGGGGGGGAAGACAAAAACCAAGGAAACATGGGAAAATATGGGGAGTCCTTTTATTTGTGTGTATTTCTCTGTGTGTCCCGCGTGCCCGCGTGCCACACTGGAGGCAGGGCTGGGGCGGCAAGCGACGACAGGCAGAGGCACACAGCACGCCCCGGGCAGTAGCCCCGCAGAAGCTCTGCAGCCCTGTGCCCCTGAGAGGGTTGGCAAGAGGGCTGGCGGACTTCCCCCTTTCCCCCCCTCCTCCGTTTTCCCTCCCCTGTGTTCCTCAGGTCCCTTCCTCCCTCCTCCTTCCTGCGCCTTCTCCCTCCCCACTCCCTCCCGCCTCCCTTCTCCCTCCCCTCTCCTCGTGGTCCCGCCCTGCCCCTTCGCGGGTAGTGGACATCCTTTGTTTCTTCATTATCCCCAGGATTATGATGATGCTGATGATGATGATGATGCTGATGATGATGATGATGATGATGATGATGATGATGATGATCATGCTGATTGTGATGATGATGATGCTGATGATGATGATGATGATGATGATGATGATGATGATGATGATATGATGATGATGATGATGCTGATGCTGATGCTGATGCTGATGCTGATGCTGATGCTGATGCTGATGCTGATGGTGGTGATGATGCCGATGACGCTGACGGCGATGATGATGATGCTGACGATGATCATGTTGATGCTAATGCTGATGTTGATGCTGCTGGTGATGATGGTGATGATGATTGTGATTATGGCGAAGTTGGTGTTTATGGTGATGTTGTTGGTGATGCTGATGTGGATGACGACGATGATGATGATGATGCTGTTGCTGATGATGGTAATACTGATGACGATGATGCTGGTGACGGTGACTGTGATGGTGATGCTGCTGCTGCTGCTGATGATGCTGACGATGATGATGTTTGTGATACTGATGGTGCTGATGCTGATGCTGCTGCTGATGATGGTGATGATGATGGTGATGATTATGATGAGGCTGTTGATGCTGATGCTGATGCGGATGCTGATGATGATGATGAGGATGATGCTGATGCTGCTGATGCTGATGCTGATTCTGATGACTCTGCTGCTGCTATGCTGATGATGGTGATGACGACGATCTTGATGTTTATGATGCTGCTGATAATGGTGATGGTGATGTTGACGAATATGGTGATGCTGCTGCTGCTGATGACAAGGTTGCTGAATATGACGCTGGTGATGCCGATTCTGACGACGATGACGACGTTGCTGATGGTGATGATGATGATGATGATGATGATGATGATGATGCTGATGATGATGAGGATGATGATGATGTTGATGGAGGTGATGATGATGCTGATGGTGGTGATGATGCTGATGCTGATGACGGCGATGATGGTGATGCTGACGATAATCATGCTGATGGTGACGCTGCTGCTGATGATGGTGGTGATGATGCTGTTTATGGTGAAGTTGGTGTTCATTGTGATGTTGGTGTTGATGTTGATGCTGATGATGATGATGAGGAGGAGGAGGAGGAGGAGAAGTAGAAGGAGGAGGATGTGTGGGGAGGTGGAAGGGCGGGGCAGCGCGGCCCTCCCTTTCCTTCTAGGGGGGAGGATGGGCGGGGGCAGAGGACGATCCATTGAGGGAGGAGGAGGAGGAGGAGAAGGAGGAGGATGAGGAGAAGGAGGAGGAGGAGGAGGAGGAGGAGGAGGAGGACGAGTGCAAACCCAAGGCGCAGCAACGATATTGCAATACACCCTCCCTCCAAGTTCCCTCTTCATGGGACCCTACAAGAGTTTATTCCATTGCGGGAAATGCTTCATTTGAAGACAACTGTCTGAGAATCTTCAGCCGTGCCAACACACAATTCATGGGACTCTAGCTTCTCGAATCAACGCGACCTTGCCAGACACCATTTTCGGGACTTCGACCAAGGGAACTCTGGGAGCTGTAGCAAACTTTCAAGACGAACGTGCGCAGCGCGAAGGCGATGGCCACATTTTTTGAAAAAGAGCCGCCCTTCATCTGTGAACCTGTTGCAAACTTTCAAAACGAGTGTTCGCGGCGCTACGGCGAGTACCACAGTTTGAAGACTGACCGTATTTTATTCGTAAACTGGTTGCACACTTTAATAAGACGAATGCGTTCCGCGCTACGGCGAGAACAACATTTTGAAGACGACCCGCCCTCCATCATTGGCAGACTTTTGAGACGCATGTGCGCGGCGCCAGGGAGAGAGCCACATGTTGAAGACAGCCCGCCCTCCTCCCGGAAACTCCTGCAACCTTCAATCACCAAGCGCGTTCCACTACTCGCAAAGTGCCTACTCGTTAACGTCCGAAAAACATGGGTGCGCTTTGATGAGATTTATCGTAGATTTTCCGTGGCGGATCCAGGCCATTCGCGAGTAGTTATTTTTCGAGTAGTGGAACGCGCTCGTCTGTTCAAGCTTGAGGAACATCAGTTATGAGGAAGCCTCGGGCGAGACGCACGGCCCGCCTCACCGCCACGTCGGGGAGTGCGACGTGGAGGAGGTATTCATAAGGACACGTGAGGAGAAACCGAGGTACGGCGGAGAAGGAGGAAAGGAGGTACGGAGGATGAGGGGGAGAATCAGGAACGTATGATGATCATGAGGAGGAGGACGAGAAGAAACAGGAAATAAGGAAATGATGCTGATGATGCTGCTGCTGATGCTGATGCTTATGCTGATACTGATGCTGATGCTGTTCATGATGATGCTGATGATGATGCTGATGCTGATGCTGATGCTGATGCTGATGCGGATGCGGCTGCTGCTGCTGATGATGCTGATGCTGATGCTGATGCTTATGATGATGCTGCTGATGATGATGCTGATGATGACGATGATGAGGAGGAGGCGTAGTTTCCCATTCTCCTTCTCCTCCTTCTCCTCGTCTTCGTTCCCCTTGACTCCTCCTCCTCACTCCTGCTGCTCTTCCTCCCTTCCGAAAGGACGGCGCCTTCCTGTCCAAGCTGTCCCTGCACAGCAGCCTGCTAATCCCCAGCGCGAGCGAGGTGCCCTGCCTACCCCGCTCCTCCCTGGGCACCTTTGCGCGGGAGCACTGGGAGGAGGAGGAGGAGGAGGAGAAGGAGAAGGAGAAGGATGAGGAGGAGGTGATTCGGCGCCTGCCGCTGCGTCCATTCTGATCCAGCCCTCCTGCTGCCTTACCACCCCTCTCCTCTCCTGTGTACTCTGTCGGCCCTCGGTTCGGGGGGTGCGATTCATCCAGCTGCACCTCCTTGCGCCGATGACGGGCGCGGCCAGGATGCGGCGCAGGCGGAAGTCGGCGTCCGCCGAGCATTCTCTCCCCTCTTACTAGCTCCGCCCGTCTCTCTCCCCGCCCTCCCTCCCCCCCTCCCTCTCTCCCTCCCTCCTCTCCCTCCTCTCCCTCCTCTACCTCCCTCCCTTCCTTTCTCCTTCCCTCTCTTCCTCCTTGCTTGGTCTCTCTTTGTCTCTCTCTGCCTTCCCGTCTGTTTGTCTGTCTGTCAGTCAGTCAGCTAGTCATCAGTCGACCACCAGTGAATGCCGAGTTTCCCTCTCCTCCCGGGCTTCCCCAGGGCGCCTCTGGAGCCTCCCCGAAGCTCGCCCCGGGCTGCCCCAGAGCCTCAACACAAGTTCCAATGGAATCCAAGACGGGCGATTGAGGCTTCCTTCTGGACGGTCTCATATGGCATCAAACAGCTGCAGGCAGCCCATGGTGACTTCAAAATGGCTTCAGGCTCCCAGAGAACCTTCCAAGAGGCTCCCCAAGTGGGCCCAAGCCGCCCTAAGAAAACCCCAGAGAAGCCCCCCAGGAGCCCGACACCGGCCTCCGAGAAGCCCCTAAAGAGTCCCGTCCGAGACACGGGTCTGCCTTCGAGTAGCCATGCTCTGGTGTTGCGTGCATCACCAGCAGGGTCTGCGACAGAGTACATAGTGTCGAATCTGCGCTTCAGACATAGTATCCCCTACCCACAAAGCCATGCGATAATGGAGTGCAGTCTTTATGGTAGCCTGTGAGACGAAACAAACCCATGGCTCGTTGCTCCGTCCACTTGGTAGCGCAACGGGCCGCATGACAAACTGCCCTCAACAGGGCGTAACGTGTCATTCGGGCTCCGTGCAAAACTTTCGTCAGCACTTTCGCTGCAATAGGTTGCAGTGCTCCCGACGGTTCTGGGGGATGTGGGGAGTCAACCGTTGATCCCGCGGGCAACCCGGGGACCGCGATTGCTTTCTGGGGCGGGCCAGTGGGGGGCAGCTCTGCCAATGCTTCGTCTGCCGGTGGAATAATCTCTTCCCAGGGCCCCCCTTGGCCATCCTCCAGGTCGGTCAACTCGGGTCCGATAGGCATACCTTCTGATGTGTAAATATTACGCTCAGCGTCAGTAAGGTGTGCATAAAGCAGAATGCAGTCACATCATATTCAGTGGCTTGTACTCCCTTGGTTTGTTTATGCTCATAGGGCTCAGGCGGATGTTGAACCACCGTCTGAGATCCCCCCGCTCCGTCTTCATCACCACTCGATCCGTCCCCCGAGCCGTCTGCAGGCGTCTTCCGGGTCAAGGATGGTAGGAAGTTCCCCGTTCCATTCTATTGTGTGTTTTGTACATATGATGCTCACAACCGAGATAACGCCCAACTTTGGAAGGTGGATCGATCTCCATCCTCTTCAGACATCCTTGGGATGGTCCCGCATCAGTCGCCAACCTTTTTCCATGTGCTGAGAGTGGCCGGACATTTTGAAATCGTCTATCTTAATGATTGCAAGTAGTTTTTCACACAAAATAAAGATGGTAATAACAGCTCCGCCAGGGGCTGCATTTAACAACACCCTTGGAAGCAATATGTCCCTCACAGTGCTGTTCCCAGTAGCCCCCTGAGTCAGGATGACCGTATGAAGACCGGATCAGAGGAGAGACAGGATTTCTCATTCCCCTCCAGGACTCAGGCCATTCTTCTCGAGGTAGACCCACAGCTCCTTACCATTCGGGCACGGTCCCTCTACCTGTTTAGCGCTAGACTCCAAGACAGGCAAAACTAGAGTGCGCGCGCGAAGCGCGCGCGCGATGGTTCGACGATGAGCATTTCGCACCCCGCATTTGCGGATAAGACTGCGGGGGCGGCGGCAGGGGCGAAAGTATTGCCCCCACCCATTGCCTCCAAGTGTTGCTCCCATGTATTGCACAATGTAGTATCCCGAAGGATCGCCCCCATGCATTTCCCCTTGCATCGCCCCCATGTATCGCCCCCATGTACTGCCTCCATGTATTGCCCCCCATATATCGAAACCATGTATTGCTCCCACGTATCGCCCTCATGCAACGCCCCCAAGGATAGCCCCCATGTGCCGCCCCCCAGTTTCGCCACCAGAGACGGAGCCCTCCATCAAGCCACGCGCGCGCCGGGCAGAAAACAGACTGCTCGGGCTCCCCTACTCAAATTTATGAGTTGTTCGACACATGTGCAAACGTCTATATGTATATACACGCTATATACCTATACGACCACCTTCGGGTGATAAGGAGGTTGTGGGGAGGAGAGGGGGGACACAACATCTGACTCAATCGATCTCACTACAGATCTCACTCAACGGCACACCACGGCACACCACGGCACACCACGGGGCACCACGTGACACTTGTCGGTTTCACAATCGAACGCACTATCGGTCTCACTCAACGGGACACCACTGGCCACCACGGGACACCATGGGACACCGCGGGACACCTCTCGATCTCACTATCGGTCTCGTTATCGATTTCACTACTATCGATCTCATTCAACGGGACACAATTGGACACCACGGGACACTTCGGGACACCACATCGATCTCACTATCGATCTAACTATCGATCTCATCATCGATGTCACTATCGATCTCACTTGCCAGGATGCCACGGGGCACCACGGGACACCTGTCGATCTCATTATCGATCTCACTATCGATCTTTCTTTTTGGGACACCACGGGACACCACGGACCACCTCGGGGCACCACATCGATCGCACTATCGATCTCATTATCGATCTCACTATTGATCTCACTCAGCGGGACACTACGGGACACCACGGGACACCACATGACACTTGTCGATCTCACTATCGATCTCACTATCGATCTCACTCAACTGGACACCACGGGACACCTCGGGGCACCACATCGATCTCACTATCGATCTCACTATCGATCTCACTATCGATCTCATTATCGATCTCACTATCTCACTCAACGAGACACCACGGGACACCACGGGACACCGCGGGACACCTGTCGATCTCACTATCGATCTCACTGTCGATCTCACTGTCAATCTCATTTTTTGGAACACCACGGGACACCTCGGACCACCACCTCGATCTCACTATCAATCTCAGTATCGACCTCACCATCGATCTCACTATCGTTCTCACTCAGCGGGACACCACGGGACACCGCTGGACACCGCGAGCCACCGCCGGACGGACGGACGGACGGACGGACGGGGGAGAACCATTTGGCTCGACTTCGCCCTTGCAACGGCGGACACCACGGGACAGCACGGGACACCACGGGACACCGCGGGACACCGCGAGCCACTGCCGGACAGGCGGGAGGGGGAGAATCATTTTTCTTGATTTCGCCCTGGCAACGGCGGACACCACGGGACACCACGCGACACTACGGGACACCGCGGGACACTGCGGGCCACCGCTGGACGGACGGACGGACGGGGGAGAACCATTTGTCTTGACTTCGCCCTATCAACGGCGGACACCACGGGACACCGCGGGACACCGCTAGGGCCACCGCTGGACGAACGGACGGACGGGGGAGAATCACTTGTCTTGACTTCGCCCTAGCAAACGCGGGTTCATTCCTCTCGCGCGCCCACGCAGCTTCGCCTCGCCCGCACGCACGATACGAACGAAACGAAATAATTTCCCAGTTGGGGGTCTCCGTTCCACTGCGATCTTACCCCCCAACCTCCGACACACGAGTGTGTGTGTGTGTGTGTTTGTGTGTGTGTGGGTGGGTTGGTGGGTGGGCTGGTGTGGGGTGGGGTGGGGAGTGCTGGGGAGGGGTGGGCATTTTCCCCTTTTGCCTCCCCTCTTCTCCCTGCTCTCCCCCTCCGTTTCCCCCCCCGTAGCTCGGCTTCTGCCTTCCTTGCCCGCTGACCCCCCCGTCCACCCAAAGCAAAGGTCAATCTGCACAGCAACCCGATGGGTGGCGGGATTGACCCGATGAGTGCAAGTACGGTTACCCGCCCTCCCTCCTTGGGAAGCACGATGAGGATGGGGATGGGATTGAAAATGCGCGTGCGTAAGAATACGACAGCGGGATAATGACGAGGTTGTTGCTGCTGCTTCTCCTGACGACGAGGATGTTGACGATGATGCTGATGCTGACGCTGATGATGATGATGCTGATGGTGCTAATGATGATGCGGATGCTGATGGTGGTGATGATGAAGCTGATGATGCCGATGCTGGAGTTTGTCGTGCTTGTGACGATGCTGACGGCGAGGGTAGTGGTAACAATGCTACCGATGATGCTGAAGATGTTCATGATGAGGATGATGATGATGACGATACTGGAGGTGATGATGATGATGCTCATGATGATGCTGGTGATGATGATCATGCGGGTGATATGATGATGATATGCTGATGATGGTCGTGGCGACGACGCCGACAATGATGATGATGTTGATGATGATGCTGATGCTGATGACGACGATGATGATACTGATGATGACGATGATTCCAATTATGACGATGCTGATGATGAACATGATTAATATGATGATGCTGATGACGATTCTGATGATGGTGGTGGTGATGATGCTGCTGCGGCTGATGAGTAATGATGGTGATGCTGACGATGATGACGATGCTGCGGATTATGATGATGCTGATGATGACGCTGATGATGCTGATTATGATGACGATGATGATATTGATGTTGATGTTATGATGACGATGTCGAGGACGATGATGCTCATGATGATGGCAACTACGGCATTAGTATTCAGCGTATCTATGGTGTTGATACTGTTTATGGTGAGCCTGGTAATGCTGGCGATAATGGTGGTGATGGTAGTGATGCTCATGATGATGGTGATGATGATGATAAGGGTTATGCTGATGCTGCTGATGCTGATGCAGATGCTTATGATTATGCTGATGCTATGCTGACGATGGTGATGGCGACCATGATGATGTTGATGATGCTGCTGCCTCTGATGATACTGATGATGACGAAGATGGTGATGATGGTGATGATGCTGCTGATGATACTTAAGTCGATGATGATGCTGGTGTTGTTGGTGATGATGCTGGTGATGAGGATGATGATGATGATGATGCTGATGATGGTGCTGATGCTGATGATAATTATGACGATGATGATGATGATGATGATGATGATGATGATGATGATGATGATGATGATGAAGCTGATGTGACATTGCACCGACCAGTACTTGAGACGTGGATGTTGTACGGTTGAGGAAGTTTGGTGGTATGGTATCGCGGATGAGCCGTGGGTGCGAGCCGGATGATAATGAGGGTAAGGATGAGGCGGGGGATGACGAGCGGGATGATCATTCTGATGATAATGGTGATGGTGATGGTGATGATGATGCTGATGCTGATGCTGATGCTGATGCTGATGATGTTGTTGATGATGATGCTGATGATGTTATTGTTGTTGATGATGAGGATGAGGATGAGGATGAGGATGAGGATGCGGATGAGGATGAGGACGAGGAGGACGCGGAGGGCGAATAAGGAAGAGGAGGTTGACTAGCCGGCCACCTGATACAGCTGATCGCACAAGAACTATCGGAGGGCACCATACTGTCCGAGCCCTGCCCGACCACGATCGGGTGGCCACTCCACCAGGCGGCCGGTATCCGTGGACCTCTGATCGTGTCCGAGCCCTCGAGCACGCCGCACCAGAACAGGCTGGAGAAGGCCCGCCCAGGAAGCTCCTGGAGCCACGGGCCACCGCGAGGGCGCGAAGCCATGCGTGGTTAGGGGTTCGTGATTCCTCGGGTTTCGCGCTTCGCGCAGCGCGAGGCGCGAACGCAGCTGCCTTCCATGGAGCTGCTCCGTTCGGACCTGGTTGGTGGTGGGGCCCTGCCGTAGCTGGTGTTTTTCGTGTGACGGCAATTCCGGTTAGTGGAATGGGACGGGGGGGACGTCCCTGGTATAGATTTTTAAATCAGGTCCCGCTCAACCCAGTTCTGCCAACGCCCGATCCGTGATGGCCAGGGGCGGCCCGACCGACCTCGCTTCAAGCCGTGGGCGGGCTGCGGGCTGGGGACCTTCGAGAGCGAGGCTGTCGTCGCGGGGGTGGGGGGGGCTCGTCTTAGAAAGGGGTCGGTTGCCCGAGATGGAGGGCAGGTCTTTTGGTTGTTCTCCCCTCAGTGGTGTGGTTTTGGGGCGCCCTCCCAGAGGTCGTCGCTTCCGTGGCCTCGCCTGTGCTGCAGCGAACTCTCCAGACACGAGATGTAACATTCAGGAACGCGCCCCAGAGGAGCGGCTGGGCGCCCCCGAGAGGCCAAAGAGTTCCCCAACACGGCCCCAGGATGGCCCCCTTGGGACCGTGTTGTGCATGCTGGAGGTTTGGGTCCCAGTAAGCCTTCTCGGAGCCTCGAGAGAGGCCACGCGACGCATCCCAGGAGCGCTCAGGAGTTCCTCAGGTTGGGGATTTCGGGGAACTCAGAGTATCCAAAGCCGAGGATATTCGAAGAGTGGGCAACAGCATGACCACAAACTCTTGGAGCTCTGCGCGAAGCCGCAAAAAGTTCAACCAGTCCAGCCGGCTTTTTCTTGTAGACCAATTACGTGAGGGACCCGAGGACACTCCATTGAGTGCTTTCGGTACGGGCGAGCAGCACTTTTTCGTCAGCGGCGAAGCGGCGAACTCCGCTCCAGCGAGGCACAAACGTTAGCGAATTGGCCGGCGAGCAAAGAGGGAATGGGGGACGGCCGAGAGGAAGAAGGGAGGCTCAGACGCCGAAGAGTTCGACGATGAGCAGCCGGGGGGGGGAAGCAGCAGCCAGGTGCGCAGGGCCAGGGCGCGGTGGGCGGCCGTGGCGAACCACGGTGGCAAGGGTGGCGGGGAGTGGCAGCCAGCGCCCGTGGCTGGCGGGGAGCACAGTGGAACGCCGCGAACGTCGTGCCGCGGCGCGCCGAGGAGAAGGCACAGCACTGAGCCGCGCGGGGGCGGGAGCAGCGGCCGAAGGGCTGGCAGTGGCAGAGACCCTGCGGCGTGACCTCCCGAGGCCGGGTGGCCTGGGGGCGGGGAGGCGCGCGAGCAACGCGTGTACCTTCCTTGCGAACTGCCGTCTTGCCCTGTGCTAGGGCTGCCCCGAGAGCGCCCGCCCCGCCCTGCCTTGGTGGTGCCATGCAGGGCTGAAGGGGAGGGGGTCCGCAGGTGTTCGTGAGGCACTCGCCCAGCCTCTTCCTTGCAAATACCCAAGTTGTGCACGGCGCTATCGTTAGGACTACACATTTTCTTTTCCCCCCGCGCGCTTTCCTTTTTCCCCCTCGGGGGAGGGTTTCGGACCCGCGGCGTTTTTTTTGTCCCCCTGCGTTTTTTGTTTTTGCCCCTCCTCCCGCTGCGGCCCACTGCCTTCCGAACGCTTTGTTATTTTTCTCTCCGCGTTTTTTGTTGTTTGTTTTTCCCCTCCGTGCTTTTTTTCCCCTTCCCGGGGGGGGGTCCTGCCGTGTATGGAGCGGGCACTATGCGCGGGGTCCAGGTGGGATGGGGGGGAACACCGCTTGTGTTGTTTCCCCATCGACGTTTTTTTTTTTTTTTTTTTTTTTTTTTTTTTTTTTTTTTTTTTTTTTTTTTTTTTTTTTTTTTTTTTTTTTTTTGTGTTTTTTTTTGTTTTTTTTTTTTTTCCCCCTCAGCATTTTCTGTTTTCCCCGGGCGTTTTTCCGTTTTCTCCTCCGGCGGCGGGCGCCGTGGGCGTGACGCTTCCGCGGAGGCCCCATTGGGCGGGGGGGGGGGGGCAGGGGGCAGTCGGTGGCCAGCCGCGCAGGGTTAACAAGAAACCGCTGCAACCACACTGCGTAGCAATCGCGTTGCCTTGCGTTGCGTTGCGATCGCATTGCGTTGCAGTCGCATGACGTCGCACTCGCCTGACATTGCAACCGCAACGGGTTGCAATCGCATCCCATTGCGATCGCATTGCGTTGCAATCGCATTGGGTTGCGATTGTATCACGTTACGATTGCACTGCGTTACAATCGCGTTGCGTTGCATTCGTATTTCAATCGCATTGCAGAAGAGTCGGACAAAAGGGGAAATATGAGGGGAAGGATGAGGTGGCGGAGAAAGACGAGAAGTCAGGTCAAACGAGGAAGGTGGAGGGGGATGAGGAAGAGGGGCAGGAGGAGGAGGAACAACATGGGCAGCAGAGCAGGAGCAGGAGTAGGACACAAGAGCAATTACACACTGTGATCCGTACTGCTACGATTACTACTACCGGTCGTGCTATTACGGCTGCGTCGACTATGACTACGACTACTACTAGTCCTACAACTAGTACGACTGCTGCTACTACCGCTGCTTCCACAACTACTAGAACTCCTGTCAGTACGGTTTGCGTTATTACCGCGACGAATATTCCAACGACGACTACCACGCGATTGCGATTAGGATAGCGTGTTCCACCCGCATTCGTTTTACTAGTAGTGCGACGACCACTCTTCTTACAAGTACAACAGCACATGCGACTACGACTATTACAACTCCTATTACAACTAGTATTTTTATTATTACGATTAATACTATTACGATTATTATTGCTATCACTACTACTACTACTACTACTACTACTACTACTACTACTACTGTTACTACTATTACTACTACTACTACTACTACTACTACTACTACTACTACTACTACTACTTCGACTACTACTACGACTACTACTACTACTACTACGACGACTACTACTACTACAACTACTAGTACTACTACTACTTCTACTACCACTACTACTACTGCTACTACTATTACTACTACTACTACTACTACTACTACTACTGCTACTGCTACCACTACTATCACTACTATCACTACTATCACTACTACTACTTCTACTACTACTACTACTGCTACTACTACTACTACTACTACTACTACCACTACTACTACTACTACTACTACTACGACCACCTCTATTCGCCTATTGGCACCAGTACTACGGCTACTGCCACTACTACTACCACCACTACTACTACTACTACTACTACTACTACTACTACTACTACTACTACTACTACTACTACTACTACTACTACTACCTACTACTTCGACTACTGCTAGAACATTTACTGCTTCAACTACTACTACTACTGCTACTACTACTACTACTACTACTTCAACTAGTACTACTACTACTTCTACTACTCCTGCTGCTGCTACTACTACTACGACGACTACTATTACTACTACTACTACTACCACTACTACTACTACTGCTACTACTACTACTACTACTACTACTACTACTACTACTACTACTACCTACTACTACTACGACTACTACTACTACTACTACTACTACTACTACTGCTGCTACCACTACTACTACTACTACTACTACTACTACTACTACTACTACTACTACTACTACTACTACTACTTCTACGACTACTACTATCACGATGAGTCGTAGTATTAGTATAACAAGAATTTCCTGCTATTGCGACGACTACCTACAACTCCTGCTACTGTACCTGCAGTGGCTGAAGCTGGCCTAGCACCAGGGCGCATGGGCTTTTGCAACTCCTCGCCGGGGCATGTGCGTCGCTGCCAAGACCCATAGGAGGGAACGCCGCATCGGCTTTCTGGCGGGGGCCACCAATGCCTGGAATCGCATGGGATGTGGGGCAACGCCCGAGTGGTCTGAAGGTCTCCAGGCCCACTGTGACACCGCCGTCGCGGAGAGCAGCGCGCTGCGCGCGGCTTTGCCGCGCTCGCCTTTGGACGAGGCGGCCGCGGTTTTCAGCATTTCAGTCTCCGCCGTGCTGCTGGACTTCGAGGAGTTCTTGGTTTTGATGTTGGAGGCTGCGTTGCACGTGGGGTGCCCGTCCAGAGTGGTGTGCTTCGAGGCGCAGTTCGGTGCAACTTCGCCTTGCCTTCGGTGTCCCCAAGGAGTTCCTGGAACGATCCGACCCGCAAGGTCCGTCATGGCGGGTTCGCCGCGCGGGGTACGATTGGCTGAGCTGCTGCCCCTCTACCTTCTGATGCGGAGGGCCCAGCAGCGATTTGATTTCGCCGCGTTCTGGACGTTCATCGACGACGCGATGCCCAGTGACGAGGGAACCCGTTGGCTGGTTGGAGAACGCGGGGGGGGGGGGCCTGCTTCTTCATTCAAAGATGTGCTCGAAGATCGGGGGCTTGTTGTGTCGGGCAAAAGTTGCTCGCGGCCGCTGATCCGCGCCTGGGCAGGAGCATGGCGAAATGCATGAGGAAACTTGAGACGCCTGTCCAACGTTGTCTCGACGCCGTGGGTCTAGGCCCTAGGCATGGGCACATCAGGCGCCCAGAGGGGATCGGGCAGCAGGTCGTCTCAAAGGATCGCGTCTGTCAGCAAGCGTGCGCGTCGCATCCATCTTTTCCGTCGCATGGCAAGCTTGGGGAGATCAGCCAAGGCCTGCGGCGCACAGTCGCATTGCCGTAGGCGTCATCTGGTCATCGTGTGCAAGGGCTTGCTCCGCATCGGCTTCGCCAATTGCGCAGGCAGGCCGCCCGTCTGGGCGCGGGCGTCTTCCGAGGCCGCTGCCTTGCTGGTTCGCTCGAGGTGCTGCGTGGCGCAAGGGGTCACGACTGGCGCTTCGTCGCCAATTCACTTGGCATCGCTCGGACGTGTGTATTTTTCCTTCGGCGAGGACCATCGAGGAGCATCCTTGATCATTTGGCGAAAAAACCACACCCGAAACCGAAAAAAACACAGGGAATGGACGTCCGAGCGATGGCCAGTTGACTTCCGAGTGCCTCATTCTGTGGCCGCTCCAGCCATAATGCCACGAGCGCATCGAGGTGGTACGGGCCAGGCTCGCTCGCCGTCTGGATGCTGCACATCCGTCTCAGCGTTGGCACCTTGTTCGTGGGCCTGTCTCCGCTGTCCTTGCCAGCCTCCTCCGCTCGGGCAGGAGGGCGTCCCCGGCGACTGCTTGGCAGAATTATGGAGCACAGCATTTGGGTGGAGTGACGCATCCCCGCGTCCCCGGCTGAGGGTGTCACGGATGACGAGGTGGAGGCCAGTGGGGTTTTGGACGACCTGATGGAGGCTTGGTGCTCCCAGAACTGGTGCACTGACCGCCATCATGAGTGCGCTGATGACCCGTTCTGTCGTGGTGACCTGGTGGGGTGGGCCAGGAGTGGGCATCAGGGTCCTCCAAGCGCGGCGACATCGATGAGGCGGGCTAGGCGCTGCGCGCGGTCACTGGCACGCAGTGGTTGAGGGTGCGGCAGTTCCCAGCAGGCGCGGCCGAACAGCAGCTGTGCCCTCGGTGCCGCGGGGGGCCTGAGACTCTGCGGCGCAGGGTCTGGGAGTGCCCGCGCAACAGAGAGCATGATTATGCGGCGCCCGATTCTCTGACTCCTCCAGCCCCTGTGAGCGCCGACGCCAGTCCTGGACTGCGGCTGCGCGGGGTTCCCCCGCCCGCCCCGACCCGCCCTGTTTGTCCGGGTGCCTTCGGAAGCTGATGGTCGGGAGCGAAAAAAGGCCGTGCACGTGCATGAATCCACGTTGGTTTCAAGAGCACGCGTTGCGCGAACGCTCGTATCAGGCGGCCGGTGTCGCGGATTGGGGGGCCGTGTTCATGTGCGCGGTTGGGCGCGTGCGACCTTGGTGGGCTCCCTAGATGGGTCGCTCCCCTTGGGGTCCATTCCTTTCTTGGCGCGCTCGAATTCCCGATGGTCCTGGCGAGCCTTTTTTTTCGGGGGCAGCGGCGGAAGGAGTTTTCTTCTGCAGGCCCGAGAGGCTGCGTCGCTGCGGTGCGGCCGTTGTCGCCATCGGGAGGACTCCTGGAGAAGCCAAAGGGAAGACGGTCGGGGGAGTTTCTCACCGGCTATCACAGGTCATGGTAAGGAATGAACGCGCGTTCTTAAAACAAGACAAACCATCATTGACTAGAGCGAGACACGGATGTATTGAATTGCGCCGCCGGGTGAAAACAAGACAAACCATCATTTAGTAAACGCAGAAATCCGGGGCCGTTGTTCTAAATCCCAGATTTGATCATTACCATGACCTGAGTGGCTCGATCAGCGTCGTAGAGTCCAGGCGTTTTCAACATCCGAGCTTCTAGCGTTCGCTCTGTGCCTGCAGGGCGCCTTCGCTACGCCACGGATCATCAGCCGCTCCTTATGGCATAGGAGAGGGGTCGGGTGGACTCTTCGCTTGGGGATCGTAGCGAGGACATTTGGCTTGAATTCGCACCGCGTTCCGCGCCCTCGGTCGTGGTGCCCTTGCCCTCGGGTGGCCACCGTCACGCCTTGAATTGGACGGTGCGGAGCTTCCGGTGCAGCAGAAGCTTCAGACCGCTCCTGGGCCACCTCAGTTTGCCCGGCCTCGCACCGAGTTTTTGGGACGCCCAGTCTGCGTTGATTCGTCGGCGAGCCCATCGGGCTCCAGTCGAGGCGACGGAGGCTGACCTCCGCAAAGCTCGCGCCGAAGACGCCTCTTTAGATAAAGCTAGTCGGTGGCGAGCGAGAGGGGGAAATGGGAAGGGGCGGGCCTTCTCAGAAGGCTCGGAAGTTCCCCGGCCTTCTGAGAGGTCTTCTAAACCTTCACCAAAACACAGAA